AGAGATGCCGCTGTTGACAAGAACGACGTCTTTAAGTAGTGTGACGGTTCTGCACTCGTCGGATACCACATGGACGTCGGGCATGCACGTTTCATCTGTGTCGTCGATTTGAGTCGTCTGCCCACACACAACACCTACAGCTCTTTGAATCACATCTCAAATTTCAGAGGCATGGTCTTGTGCACCGGTTGTTGGCCTGGTCTACCAGAACAACGACTATCATCAGCAGTATTTGCCTGTCGATATCGTGATTGTAACCTGCTAATTACTGACTGTGAAACGTTACGAAGCTCGTGCCAAAATGCTTTGCCTTGCTCTAACTTCGAAGATGCTAATTGCTCGGAGACTTGCCTGTCGTGACAGACGTAACACAAAATAGTTTAACTGAGTCTAAAACAATATTAGAACTTTCACTCTTGGTTTTATCATTTTCGAATTTCACCCCTATAATGTTACAGTGCGTATCATGAAAAGCTCTTGCCTGAAACTGGCGTGTTTGCACGAAATTCATAATACTTTGAGAATGGAACATTGTCAATCATTTTCCATGTCCATACACAATCATATAACTTGGTTCTCGGATAATATTACCCCAAAATGGAATATTCCCTACTACTTTTGCAATGGTATAATGAAACATATCTCGGGTCTCTTTTCTCAAGTCGCAGTATAAACATTTAGTCATAATGATTAATATTGGAATGTGTGAGTATACATGCACATATATATGTTTATTTAGAGTATTTTTTATGGTGAAAGTGTATCATAAATGTACATACGTTAAACGTGTGGGCTTAGATTTATATGTATTTCACCACCACTCATATTTCTTCCATAAATATTGTAACATATTTCGTCCATGGCCAACATTTGTGAACCTCCGACTTTCTACAAGGCGGATTAGTGTCCAAATGATTAGGCCTGGCACCATAAGTTGTCATGGTATGAAATAAACCAATACATAAAAGGTTTGGAATGTACAGTCAGTGGCCAAAAGTCTGTTCGCACCGGTGACGTCACGGCTATTTTTAGCGGAGTCGGGTCCCCTTTTAAAATTCGCGTATCTATGTAAATAATAAAGGTACTCACCTCAAATTTTCAGAATTTAGAGATATGACCCTGTGCTCTTAGGACATCTCGGAGTCGTCTTGGTAAACTGTCATATAGACGACGAATGTAAACGGGACTAAGCCCAGTCCAAATGTCATTCACCACACGGATGAGATCTTGTCTGGAGTTAATGTCACCTAATCTGGCTTTGAGTTGATATTTAACAGTTTTCCATACATTTTCAATGATATTGAGATCTGGACTTTGTGGGGGCCACGGCAAAGTCGGAATATGATTTTCCTGTTTCCAACGGTTAGCCCGAATGGACACATGACAAGGGGCATTGTCTTCTTGGAAAATCCAATTGCGGTTGACAAAATGCCTGGCAACTACAGGCCACAAGTGGTTATCAAGAATGGCAATGTACTTATCAGTGTTCATGTTGCCATCAACGACAGTTAAAGTTCCCACTCCATACGCAGACACACACACCCAAAACATCACTGAAAACTTCGAATTTCGTTCATGATCGGTACGAACTCCAAACAATCGGGTCGTAACCGCTCATGCGACTTTCTCCACACATAAACTTTTCTGTCTATCCCGATCTGGACTTGTGTCTCATCACTGAAAATGACATTATCCCACTCATTTCTTCCCCAATGCAATTTTGTCCGACAAAATCGGAGTCTCTTCTCTGTTAACACGAGAAATGGTGATTTTCTTGCTTACCACATGTCTACGGTACCCCTCAATGAACAATCTTCTTCTGACAGTGCGAGAAGACAGAGTAGTCGGTCCCTGATTGTTATATTTTGCTGTCAAATCCCCAAGTGTTTGCCGGCGATTTCTTTTCACAAGACGAAAAGCCGTCGTTCGCTTCTTGGTGACGATTTTCGGGGCCGCCCACTTCTCGGCAACGATTTAACTGAACCTCGCTCCCGAAAACGTTTTAAAATTTTCTGAATTGTTCTTGGGTTTATACCTGTCAAATCAGCAATTTTGTAGCTTGATTGGCCTTGCTGTTTCAAGTCAACAATTAAATTTCTTTGGTCAGGTGTCAATTCTCGGTTGACAGGCGGCATGATAGCAGACGACAAAAAATATAAACAAAGCAAGGGAGATAATCGCATATTATCGGTGCTTAACATATTTTGTGACCTGTGAAATTTGTACCCCAAATCACATTACGATTGGTGGCTTATCAGCACGGCGAAACGCTCTCAAAGTCAACCTACCCCTCAAAACATGGGCAACGTCACATGTTTTGCGAACAGACTTTTGGCCACTGACTGTAGATTGTCGCGAATGGTTGCTATACTGCTGAAGCCAAGGAAGGCGATATTCGCCCAGTATGTTACAAAAAAAGTCAGCAGAATGACATTTACAGGTGAGACTGAGAAATGACGTGAACTTGCCCATATTATAACATTGTAAATGCAAGCGACAAAATCGTTCCTATTTTCATAATTGTGAAATCGCATCCAAACTCATTTTGTGCGAACGCGACTGTATCATAAGCATGGTTATTCATCTCTATCACATAATGGTGAAACCAGGTGTTAGTGAACGGATCAATGAGCGATAGTACAACGTCAGGGAACTCATCACAAAAAAAACCATTTAAGGGCAATATGCTTGTTCATAAGTAAAGAAAAATAACACCCATGTGAGGCCGTGTAACATAAGTTGAAATCAAATATAATTTTGTCATTGTGATCAATAGAAAAATGGAAAACTCTACTTAATCAAATTGCGAAAAATATTCGAAATCCACACTGAGATATTCGGAATCCACAAGGATAAGAGTGAGTGAGTGATTTCAGATTTAGAGTCACATGGGCAATGTTTCAGCCATATCTTGACTAAAACAAGCTATAGATTTATAATGATTAAAAATATATTATCAACACATGTCAAAGAAGGACAGTAAAACAACTAGACTATCACAGATATATATTTAATACTAGTAATTAAATCTAAATCAGTTTAACTGTGGAGGACGATGCAAAGGACAAGAGAGCACAAACAACAAAAACTGCATCTTCTATGACAATCCGTGGTGTTTGTTTTCCAAGTGCGTGTTAAACTTGTAACCGAACATAAGTACGGGATTCGTATGATTGTCGATACTCGTGACATGAGGGCAGCAGCATGGAGATCCCTTACACTACAATATACGCATCATTGGTACCATACATCAGATCAAAGGGAGCCGACTACACAATCAATTATTGCAAGATGCATCTTAACCCTTGAGCCACTCTTGTCTTGTTTCAAGCCAGACAATTTTAGTTTCTAGTTTTCTAGATCAGTCAAGTTAACCTACTTTGCCACCGTCCCTTGAGGCATCTTAATATTACTTAACTTTTACTTCAAACACATAAACACTCTTGGTTTAGAAGTTCATCATTATTCTACCACACGATTGTGACAAACTAACAATATATCATATTGTGCCGACAGACTGGCGAAAGATCCGAGTGTGTGTCACTATTTAAAATGTCAAATGGAATCTTATTCGATATGTTATGATTACCCTGTCTATTTTTACCTGACGCCATGTTGAGTGTCGTGTTGACAAATATTTTCGCAAATACACCACTAGATACAATAATGCTGTGTTCTATTCATATAGCATATACCTTAAATCTTCACACCTCAGGAAGATAGACAACATTTCTGATGTCTGTGGTGGTGGTGGTGGAATTGGGTTTAACGTCGTGCTTGAGAATATTTCTCTCATATGACGACGTGCATGCGTGTGTATGTGTATGTGCGGCTGCTTGTACTAGCCCAGACTGAAGCTGGTTTTATAGTGCTAGCCCACTGTGATACCATGCCGCAGTGAAGCATGAATACCCCACACAGACACATTATACTGACTCCGAGCCGACCAGTCCTTGTTGTACCCATTAATGCCAAGCGCCAGGCAGGGACCAACAAGTACCATATTTTAACGTCTTTTGGTATGACGCGGTCGGGGATCGAACCCGCGACCTTCAGCACTCCGGGCGGACGCTCTAACCACTACACCACGGGGGCGGTCCTCTGATGTCTGTTAACATATATAGAGGCATACATGTCTGGAATAGCGTTTTCCAAAGTTTAACAGTCCCTCTTATGTATGAGTAATTGGTATTCTTGTAGGTGAACCAATGACCCCGATACCAAGGGTCGTGTAAGGCTTACAGCATGGTCACTCACATTGATATTGAGTTAACATATCCATACGCAGTATGCATAGTAAACATACGCATAAAGGAAACACATACAGCATATGGGTCTAAAGCCTTCATTTTCTGGCCCAACAGAACATATCGTGCATGTAAATGATATTGTTCACAGACTGTCGAGATATCTGCGCAATGATGATGGCATACTGTTTAAAAGCAGCACGTTTGCCACTTAATCCTCGATAGGAACAGAATTTCACGATGTAATCCAGACATGAAAAGAATATCAGCAGAGGTCTCTAATGTACATATAATATCACCATACTATTATGTTTCCTCACTCTTGGGATGGTCACTTTATGATACATGTCTGAATATCCTGCTTGTCACAGACCATAATAACCGCAATTAAAGCTCAGCGTGTGCAAGCCAAGTCGTCAGCTTCCCCTTTAATTAGTCAACACTGGGAGTCCTTCTTAATGAAAACAGCCAGCCTTAAGCTGTTTATTCCCTGATACAATCACAAGCTGATTATCTAGACTTGTTAACTCTGCCTTGCAGCAGCAACATCACGGATTCCTATAACAGCTTCACCATCGTTTCGTTCAAGAAAGATTTGATTCACTTATTTGTAGATACATTAATATTGGAAGATTTGTTTAGCGGGACCGGCCAGTGATGTAGTTGTGCAGATGGATGTGCGCATGTGTTGGGCGATGCAACCTATAGGAGGGCGCGTGGTTGTATTGATCGCTCGCTATGATCAGTGAATGACGATATACAGGAGGAAGGCCGTCTCAGCCACTTTAGCCGGCCACGACTACCTGATAACGTCGGTGAAGGAGCCAGATAACTTTTGTTTGCGATTCAAGTGTTTCAGAAGAGTTCAGCGGATATGTAGTGTGGGAATGGGCAAGCTCTGAGGAAGCCCGTGCCGTTATTTTCTTACATGATGGGAGAAAATGTTACATTTGATAAACTTCTCAGAGCATATGCCATGAACGGCTCAGATGCGGCAACTGTGGCCAACGACTCCGTCAACGTTGTTCCCTGTACCAACACCACGGGAAACGTGTCCCAGTTGAAATGCATTTCAGTGGATCCGACATCAGGGACGTTACCTCGAGAAATTACATTCCACGACGACAACTTGGTGTCTGTGATCGCTTACTCATGTCTGTTCCTTGTGGCGGCCTGTGGGAATCTTACTGTTTTTATTACGTTATTTCGAAACAGGAATATCAAGTCCCGTGTCAATCTCTTCATCATGCACCTGTCCATAGCGGATTTAATAGTAACTTTCGTCATGCTGCCGTTGGAGACGGCGTGGAACATCACAGTCGCGTGGAAGGCGGGTGAAGTCGCCTGCCGCATCCTAATGTTCTTTCGTGCCTTCGGTTTGTACCTTTCCTCCTTCACGCTTGTCACTATCAGCCTGGACCGGTATTTTGCAATCATGCGACCTCTGAGTTTAAACGACGCGGACAAACGAGGGAAGATAATGCTGGTGTTGGCATGGATCTTCAGCTTTGTAGCTAGCATCCCACAGGTAAGACCAACACGCGCGCATGTCCAAACATTAACACAACTCACCCAAACCTTAAATGTCTCACCCGTACAACACACAGAGAGACAGAATTCAACTTAATTCCACTCAGTGTTTACTTAAAACTAAAGTCTTCAGACTTAGGTGGCCAAGGGAAACAAAAGGAAACAAGTGAAAACGAGTAGTTTGAAAGCTTTAGAAGCATTCTGATTGATAACCGTGGCAGAAGCTGTATCCCTATCGGTGGCCTTTCATGATTGTGTACAATGGGGACACCATGTGTTGAGTGCACACATCAGATAAACGGTTCTGACCATCACAATCAAGATTCTGTAATTCAGAAATACGAATTATGCGTCAGTCATGAAAGATAACGTATTGTTCTATGTTCCAAACTAATCTTAACCCGATTATTGTAGAGTACGTCAGAGCGCGGTAGGAACAAGAATGTAGTGTTTGAAAGATGTTGACAATATTGAGTTTGAACTGACACAGAATACAAGTTGCCCCTTTTCGGTGTTGATGTACTGAGACAGAATACAAGTTGCCCCCTCTCGGTGTCCATGTACTGAGACAGAATACAAGTTGCCCCATTTGGGTGTCCATGTACTGACACAGAATACAAGTTGCCCCCTTTTCGGTGTTGATGTACTGAGACAGAATACAAGTTGCCCCCTTTCGGTGTCCATGTACTGAGACAGAATACAAGTTGCCCCCTTTCGGTGTCCATGTACTGACACAGAATACAAGTTGACCCCTTTCGGTGTTGATGTACTGAGACAGAATACAAGTTGCCCCCTTTCGGTGTCCATGTACTGAGACAGAATACAATTGCCCCCTGTGGGTGTCGATGTGCTCATACAATCTGCACGTTTGTCCTGACTTTATCGATGTTCAGACACAAGATATAAATTTTGGCCCGGTGTTGATGTACTGACGCAGAATACAAGTTTGTACCCTGAAGGTATTGATGTACAGGGAGAGTATAGAGGTTTGTTCCTGGGGTGGTGATATAATTACACAAGATACAAGTTTGTGCCTGTAGGTATGGATGTACAGGGAGAGTGTGGTGATATAATTACACAAGATACAAGTTTGTGCTCTGTAGGTATTGAGGTACAGGGAGAGTATAGAGGTTTGTTCCTGGGGTGGTGATATAATTACACAAGATACAAGTTTGTGCTCTGTAGGTATTGAGGTACAGGGAGAGTATAGAGGTTTGTTCCTGGGGTGGTGATATAATTACACAAGATACAAGTTTGTGTTAGGCATTGAGGTACAGGGAGAGTACAGAGGTTTGTTCACTTGGGTGGTGATATAATTACACAAGATACAAGTTTGTGCTCAGTAGGTATTGAGGTACAGGGAGAGTATAGAGGTTTGTTCCTGGGGTGGTGATATAATTACACAAGATACAAGTTTGTGCTCTGTAGGTATTGATGTACAGGGAGAGTGTAGAGGTTTGTTCCTGGGGTGGTGATATAATTACACAAGATACAAGTTTGTGCTCTGTAGGTATTGAGGTACAGGGAGAGTACAGAGGTTTGTTCACTTGGGTGGTGATATAATTACACAAGATACAAGTTTGTGCTCAGTAGGTATTGAGGTACAGGGAGAGTATAGAGGTTTGTTCCTGGGGTGGTGATATAATTACACAAGATACAAGTTTGTGCTCTGTAGGTATTGAGGTACAGGAGAGTACAGAGGTTTGTTCACTTGGGTGGTGATATAATTACACAAGATACAAGTTTGTGCTCTGTAGGTATTGATGTACAGGGAGAGTGTAGCGGTTTGTTCCTGGGGTGGTGATATAATTACACAAGATACAAGTTTGTGTTCTGTAGGTATTGATGTACAGGGAGAGTACAGAGGTTTGTTCACTTGGGTGGTGATATAATTACACAAGATACAAGTTTGTGCTCAGTAGGTATTGAGGTACAGGGAGAGTATAGAGGTTTGTTCCTGGGGTGGTGATATAATTACACAAGATACAAGTTTGTGCTCTGTAGACATTGATGTACAGGGAGAGTGTAGAGGTTTGTTCCTGGGGTGGTGATATAATTACACAAGATACAAGTTTGTGCTCTGTAGGTATTGAGGTACAGGGAGAGTACAGAGGTTTGTTCACTTGGGTGGTGATATAATTACACAAGATACAAGTTTGTGCTCAGTAGGTATTGAGGTACAGGGAGAGTATAGAGGTTTGTTCCTGGGGTGGTGATATAATTACACAAGATACAAGTTTGTGCTCTGTAGGTATTGAGGTACAGGGAGAGTACAGAGGTTTGTTCACTTGGGTGGTGATATAATTAAACAAGATACAAGTTTGTGCTCTGTAGGTATTGATGTACAGGGAGAGTGTAGAGGTTTGTTCCTGGGGTGGTGATATAATTACACAAGATACAAGTTTGTGCTCTGTAGGTATTGAGGTACAGGGAGAGTACAGAGGTTTGTTCACTTGGGTGGTGATATAATTACACAAGATACAAGTTTGTGCTCTGTAGGTATTGATGTACAGGGAGAGTGTAGAGGTTTGTTCCTGGGGTGGTGATATAATTACACAAGATACAAGTTTGTGCTCTGTAGGTATTGAGGTACAGGGAGAGTATAGAGGTTTGTTCCTGGGGTGGTGATATAATTACACAATATACAAGTTTGTGCTCTGTAGGTATTGATGTACAGGGAGAGTACAGAGGTTTGTTCCTGGGGCGGTGATATAATAACACAATATACAAGTTTGTGCTCTGTAGGTATTGAGTGAGTGAGTTAAAATTTAACGTCACATCGGCAATATCTCAGCCATATCGTGACGAGCTGTAGGTATTGATGTACAGGAGAGTATAGAGGTTTGTTCCTGGGGTGGTGATATAATTACACAATATACAAGTTTGTGCTCTGTAAGTATTGATGTACAGGGAGAGTATAGAGGTTTGTTCCTGGGGTGGTGATATAATTTCACAATATACAAGTTTGTGCTCTGTAGGTATTGAGTGAGTGAGTTAAAATTTAACGTCACATCGGCAATATTTCAGCCATATCGTGACGAGCTGTAGGTATTGATGTACAGGGAGAGTATAGAGGTTTGTTCCTGGGGCGGTGATATAATTACACAAGATACAAGTTTGTTTCCATGCCGGTTTGAGTGCTGACACAGATTCAACTCAGCTCTGCCGTCTGTTAGTGTTTCGGTATTAAATCTACTGAAAGGCACTGCGCCAGCTGACAGAGTGGTCAATCTTTCGATTTTGCTTACAATAAACCTCTCTTCTAATAAAGTCTTTATTAAGTTCTTTCACGTAGAAGAGTGGGCTTCCGTATTGCCTCAGTCAGTGGTAGCGGCTAATGCTGGGGAATTCAATCACAATTCTATATATGAGTCCTACAGTCTGTTTGATTACGAAAGTAACGTCGTCTGTACCTCGTAATCCTTATTAGAACACACCAACCCCAAACCTGTCTCCGGGCACCGGCAACAACCATAGGAAACAAGCATTACAATCACTCTTATCACTTTTATCTCTAACTATTTCTTTTCATATCTAAATCTATTTTCTGATATTTTAAATCAGGTTTATGTTAGACCTAGAAACCAGTTAACAGCTGGGGTTGCATTTTCGTCTAATTTTTTCCCCGATATTCCAAATAGTTATGTTGGGTCCCTGAACCACTCGACAATTTGGGTTGTATTTTTACTCCATCAATAGATAGTGTGATCCCAGTGGAACAGCTCCGTCGTATGGTGACCATATGGGTCTGTCGCGAAATAATGTTGCATTATTTCCTTACTCATGTTTATTATTAAAATTGCTTCTTGATTTTTATTGAATTCTTGTATCTCTGGTATTGCGGTGAAAGTAAGAACATCATGAAAAGATTATTCATTATAGTGAGCGAGTTTACTTTTACGCCGCTTTTAGCAATATTCAAGCAATATCACGGCGGGGGACACTAGAAATGGGCATCACACATTATACCCGGGTGTTCAGTGTGACGAGCGAACGCTTTAACCGCTAGGCTACCCCACCGTTATCCCGTTATACGTTATCCCATGTAAAACACGCAATTATCTGTATACCTTCATACGGTTTTAACCTTGAACACGACGCAAACATCCTCCTCGCCATGATGTAGTACTGCAGACGGAAGTCATGATCCCAACAACTTTCGTCCTTGCGTAAGCGATCTCGATTTGTTACGAAAATGGTTCTGACATCCAAACGAGTTGAATTCAAAAGGTTTCATCAATATATAATTTATATTTTTCGAAGTATAAATAGGCACACAGTCGATATAAGTCGTGGGCGTCCTTGAGAGGGGTTTAACTTGAAGGGATTATCTGTAACATTTCTCTGTACGAACGTCATGTCGTCAATATATATGTCGTTTTCGATTGTGTCATTCGCTTGGAAACTCACTAATCATGTTTTGTTAGAATGGGAGGCACTTGGGTATTACCACAATGCATGTTAAATTAGTTACAATTTAATGTAAATACATGGCGAAACAAAACACTGACGTACAGCAGCAGTAACGCAATGGTCGTAACTCCGATATTCTTTCACTTTGACGTACAACATCAGTAACGCAATGGCAGTTTACGCAATGGTCGTACAGCAGCGGTAACGCAATGGTCGTAACTCCGATATTCTTTCACTTTGACGTACAGTAACGCGATGGTCGTAACTCCGATATACTTTAACAGTAACGCAATGGTCGTAACTCCGATATTCTTTCACTTTGACGTACAGTAACTCCGATACTTCACTTTGACGTACAGGAGCAGTAACGCGATGGTCGTAACTCCGATATTCTTTCACTTTGACGTACAGCAGCAGTAACGCAATGGTCGTAACTCCGATATTCTTTCACTTTGACGTACAGGAGCAGTAACGCAATGGTCGCAACTCCGATATACTTTAACACTGACTTACAACATCAGTAACGCGATGGTCGTAACTCCGATATATTTTAACATTGACGTACAGCAATGGTCGTAACTCCGA